TGAATTTGACTATTTGATGTACAAGCTGTATGCAGAGGTGATCTATGCTAGGGATTAAAAATAGCAACTGTTCAATAGTATACAGGACAAATATGGTACAGAAAATGGAAAAGCTTATTGTGGAGTCTTAAGCTTAATCTGCATGGGTAGTTGGTGTTGGCAGGACGGAGTTACGCAGGTCAGAATTTTCTTTGCTGGTTGCAGAGGTCATACTGGTTCTGTGAGGAAAATAGGGGTTCAGTATAGGTTTACAATGCCACCTATACAGCCTGCACTAGGAGTACGCTGAGGCCCTGGCTTAGTGCTGGCAGGAACAGAGAGCATCTCCGTCTGACCTGTTGGCATCGCTGCTTCCCATTAGGTAGCGTTCATTTGCACTTATGAGCATCTTCTGGCTGAGGTATCCTCTAAAGCATTTTTTACCAAGTATCAGTCCACTCCAGCGCTGCTTACTTTATGCAGTGTCGCAGAATGATGCCTCACAGCATGGTCCTGGCTATCAGCTCAGAGAATTTGTTTTTCCCCTTGTTAGAAGCACTGGGAAGCAGGTAAAAATCCTCTCTGTGGAACTGTTGTTTTTTTAAACTGCCTCCAAACTTTGCCGGTGTCTTGCAGTTTGACTTGCAGATTTCTCTGGCTGACTCGAGTGCAATACTTAAAAACTGAATGATGAATAACTTATTTTTCCAAGCTTCTGTGCAGTGTGGACTTTACTGATGATTTCTGGCTCCTTCCTAAGCTGGTAATTACTGCTTGTTTAACTGGTGGTTGATTTGCACCCTCCTGGGAAACCTAACATCTCTGAAAATGACAGTGCAGAAACTGCAGTCTTGATGATTTGTTTTTCATTTTCCTAGTTTTGTAGGCTTTAATTTATGACTGTCAGCTAGAGCACCAGAGCATTGGTTTTCAGACTGTGTGACTGCAGAGGCATGCCTCTGTATATCAGAGTTCTTAACCATACAGCTGTTTTTTAAGACAAACTCATCTTATTTTAACTTAAGGGAGAAGGGTGTTCCTGGAATTCAGGCTGAGTGCTTACACTGGGAACTTATGCCAACTAACAGCCATTGTAATGGATTGTATTGCAAAGAAATAAAGTTAGGTAGGTTCCTGCTCATTACTGCCTGCTATAGTTCAGGTTTGAGTTGGTTAATGAAGGGAGGCGCTTCCATAGGCGGAGTGTGCTCTTCTGGGCACAATACCCGAAAGTATAAAAGTACAGGAAACACTTTCTACTGACCCTCTACTTTCTCACCAGGTAAATGGCTTGATTATGATCTAGCCTCCAGCTTTTGTAACTAGTCTGTGTGCTAAACTGGAGATACAAGCGTTCACCAATTACCTAAATGAAGTCTCGGTCGCACATCTCATCTCCTGTTTCTTGTTTGCTTTGAATGAATCCAAAATTAGTGCTAAAAGTAGTGCAATCCCTGCTGAGGCCAGCTTGATCTGCTCTGGAACTGCTCCAGCCAGTGCTCTGATAAAGCCTGATATCGTTTCAACAGGCTCTAGGAGGACCAGAATTATTTCCCTTCATTGTTTATGGTTTCATTCAAACATTCGCCATGCCAGGAAAAAGGATATTTCATTTCTGCTTTTCTCCCTTCACTGCTGCTACTAGAAAACTTTTTTTCCCCCTCTTTTCTTTTCTTAAAGTTAAGCTAGAGTGTGGCAAGTGCTTCTGGATTCTGTGGGAATTGTTCTACTTCTTTATCCCCAGGGACTCTGTGCATTGCAGTTGCAAAAGGTGCACGCTGTAAATAAATAAATAATGCATCAATGTTTTGGAGTCAAAGCACATGTTCTGCTAAGAGAACATATTACGTGGGGGAGGCCAGGGAAGACTCTGGCTTTCTGCCCAGATTTAGGTAGTAAGTAAAAGCACCTAAATCCCTTTAAGGGTCTGGCCTGCAGTCTGTTACTCTCCAGTAGCTTTGTGAATGTGGCATTAAAAAATAGTAGTAATATTGCTTTGATTTTTTTTAGGCAATTCAGTAATCTTCAGTAATGTCTGCTCTCCAAAGAGAGTCTTCCTTAAGACCTCCATAACTTTGTGTTGTACACTGACTCAAACCCGAGGTATTATCAGTCAACAAAGTTTTATTCCCAGCATGCATCTTCCCTCTGGTGTGATTAGCAGAGCTCTGCTGAGCCAGGCCTGGTGCTGGCGGTGTCAGTGAGCATCCTCTGGGCAGCATCTGTGCTCGCTGCTGAGGGGAGCGTCACTGCCAAGGGGAGCACCTTGCTCTCCTAGCACAGCCATTGATGAGCTCCTAGCTCATCTGCTGGAACTGCTGCCCCCTCTCCTCTGCCCTCTCAGTTCCCAGGGTCATGTTCCCCAGTGTACAAGGATCAGGTTTAACAAAGGGTTACTATTTTAATTGTTCAACCTAATCCAGCTCACTGTGCATGGGATGGGTGCAGATGCACCCTTGTGAGCTGCTGTGCTAGCAGCTGGGATGGGGGGCTGTGCGAAGGAGTTATCCGTGCCAGTGAGAATACAGCTTCCTCGGACCATTTTTACATTTCAGGTACAGCTGACTTGTGGTTTCCACCAGGTTTATGCCACTAACAAGCTTGTTTCCAGCACTGGGTTGTAGACTGGCCCTTACTGCTGTTTATCAGGCTGATGGTGAAATGCAAGTTCAGCTGCTTTATAACAGCAGAATGACAACAGAGCAGATGGGGCCTATGGCAAGGCATCTAGCCAACTGCCAGGCATGATGGAAGAGGGTTTATTACTGGGAATTAAAGGTACTCACTCTTGCTCAGCATCATCTCCTGCCCCTGCAGGCCACCAGCCCCCAAGCAGCTGTGGCCTGAGGTGTTGGCGCGAGGAGCTGACTTACTGCTGCCTGCAGGTGCTCTTCTGCTGGTGCTTGTGGGGGGAAGGAAAGTCAATTTGTTCATGACTTGAGATGCAGAGCAGTATTTTCACAGCCTTACGTGTGTACCTGTCCAAACTGGCTGACTCCTGTGAATAGATGTCGTTCTTGGTAGCAGAGGGTCCAAGGGGTCCATTCTGTTGGCTGGTGTTAAGTTCTGTGCAGGTGTTTGTTGGCACAATAAAATTACCTTTGTGATTAAAGCAGCATATGCTATACTCAAGCTTGTCGTGTGTCCTATAAGAACAGCATGGCTTTTGCGTGTGCTTGGAAGCAGAAAACGGGACCTGAAGTTCCTAGTTTAAAATTCTGATTTCTCTTGGGAAAGCCTATACTCTCAATCTCCAATGCTTCTACTGTGCTTGGCAGATTATTTGGGGCAGGTCATGTAAGTGGTGCTCGTTCTGTAGGACAGGCATGTACAATACTCTTGTATTGTATGGTCTGGATGGATGCAAAACTAGATGGGTAAAAAGCTGGTTGTATGATTAGGCTTGGAGAGTGATGGTTAATCAGTTGTATTATACCTAGAGGCTGGTGACAAATGGAGCACCACAGGGATCTCTCGCGGGATCTGACTTGTTAATCACCTTTGTCAGTAACTCAAAGCAGATGGTAGAGTGCCCTTTCATCAAGTGTGGAGATGACACCAAGCTGAGGGCAACCAGTTGATGCACTTGAGGGCAAGGCTGTCACTGGAAGTCTGCCCAGAAAGAGACCCAGGGCTGGAAAAACAGGCCAGTGATATGAAATTAAACATAAACAAGTGCTAAGTCCTGCCTCCGGGAAGGAAGTCTCTCTTGCAGCAGGACAGGCTGGGGACTGCCAGGCTGGGGAGCAGCTCTGCTCCACAGGGGAGCCTGGGGACCCTGGTGTTGTTGTGAGCGGTGAGCTAAACATGAGCCTGCCTTGTGCTCCCTGCACAGCAGCATCCAGAGCAATAGTCACAGCAGTATGTAGACTGCGGAGGCCAATTACTGCTGTCTCCTCAGCCCCGTGGAAATAATCACATCTGGATTCTGTGTCCAGTTTTCCAACTGGACTTAGCACATCATCTCCCATCATTCATGCTGCTAATACTGGCAAGCAGTGGAGATCTGCATCCTCTGACAAAGGAGATGTAGGAGGAGCGCAAACAAGACTTATATTGCCACAGCTTTAGTGGAGTAAACTGGTATCACTACCAAGTAATCCCAATAGTGAAAGTGACTCTGAGACAAAGATCTGATATGCTACCAGCAGTCTCACCTGCTCTTCTCTGCATCCTGCTTAGGCTACTTCTGGTGTCAACTCAAGTTTGATTTGTTTTTCCTGTAAAAGCCCTTTTAAAGACCTGTTGACTGTCTTTGGTTCGGAGTAATTCATGTTAGGCTTATCTCCTTGAAGGGGAAATTTTAAAAAGCTGTGAATTTAGTGATTGTATCAGCAAGTCTGGAGATGATCAAGGAGAGAAGTATGCTTCTGAAAGCTGTTTGGTTAGTTCTGTGGCTCAGTCCATGAAAGCAAACATGCACTTCCCTGTGCAAACACAGCACAAAGAAGTGCAGATTTTTGCAGACTTTGCTCCATGGACTTCTACCCACATCTCCCGGGGACCCTCATTTTGTGTTGGACCACAGGGATGTATATGACAAAGACTGGAAGATATGAAAAGCAGGTGGTGGCAGTAAAGCATGACATCCTGGGATCACTTTCTACTTTCATTATGACTGGCAAATCAGTTTCGCAATGACTGTTCGGCTTTAGAAACCCAAGCAAACTTTAGCTGAAACTGCCTCAAAGTCACGTAGCTTATAGAAAGCAATAAGCTCGCACTGTACATACCAGTCTTTAGTTTAATTCAGTTTTTTTTTTCTCGTACGTTAATGTAGATATTGTGAAATGTGAGGGGTATTTATTTCCAGTTTGGAATTTCACACTGGCTGACTCACCCAGTGGAAGAAGCTTGTGCAAAGATTCCTTGTGGTGGTGTCTGGTGCAGCTTTTGGATCGATTATCTGAAAAGTGCTGAGCCAGACTGGTGGTGGGAGGATGTGTAGCAAAGAAAAACTGAGGGTGGGCATCTTGGAAAATTAATTTTTTTACAATCTTTATCTTTCTTTCATTCAGGCTATGGTTGCTTGCTATCCTGGAAATGGAACCGGGTATGTTCGTCATGTGGACAATCCAAACGGCGATGGGCGCTGCATCACCTGTATTTATTACCTGAATAAGAACTGGGACTCCAAGGTGAGTAAGCCACGAAGCTGAGCAAAACATGAAGGAAAAACTGCTTCGGAAACAGAGCTTTGAAGCTGTTGGTTGCTTCTGTGAACTCCGTGAACTTTGTAACAGCTGGTCCATTCTTCATCTCTTTACAGTTATTTTCTTGGTGTTTACAGCAACCCTTTGGAAGTAAGAATCTGGACTGTTTCCTTATCGTTCTCTGTCCCATCCCACACACAGACTGTTTTGTTGCTATAGAGTAAAGCTCCTAGGCACTGGGCTGCTGGCTCTTATGTTTTGTTTAGAGGAAAGAGCAGCGAAGCACTAGAAGGAAAAACATAATCCACTAAGGAGTAACCGGATTCTGGGAGCAGAATAAAATGACAGCCCAAAGTCGGGACATTAGCATTCTTGATATTGTTCTTTCAGGCTAACCTGCAGATCTTCAGGCAGTTGTCTTTGTGGTTTTCTTCCTTATGAAGTGATAGACCTCAGTAAGAGGAATGAGCACATGGCTTGGTTTGTCCTCTCCATCTTTGACTCCACCAGTGGGTCTCTTGACAGAACAGAGCTCTAGTTTCTGCCTGTAGTACTACCAGGCAATAAAGTCAGCCTTGAATTTACCATACCTTTAAGTTAGAAACAAAAGAAGGGTTTGTAAAATTGCAGGATGTCTCTTTGTTGTCCTAATGAGACACAGACCATTTGTGTAGATTATCTATTGCAAATTGCCCAGTGTTTTTTGTCTCTGTAACCTTTCTCTGCCACTTCAGGTGAATGTTCTCTACGCATGTGTAAATGCTAGAACCACCAAAAGTGAGTTCAGATTTATAGACAATGCCACTGAAAAATGCACTGTTGGAGAAAAACACATTCCTTTAGAGGGGAGTACGACAGTAAAACATCTCAATGTAAAAAAATGGAGGAGATGTGGGACGAAATGCAAATATCCAATATTTTTTGTGCACTGCACTCTTCCTCTCATAGTGAGGAAGCACCCAAGTGGACACTAAGAAAGCTAACTGAAATCCAGGATGCTGGTGGAGAATATTATGTGGATGTGATGGTAATTTTATGCAAATTATGCTGGAGGAAATGCGCGATAACCATTCTGGCCTTTGAAAGCAACCATGTTGCTTTAAACCTGACCTAATAGTTTCTTCCTGAGGTTTGCTTGCCACATGGAGATACTAAGTTAGGTCAGTGCTGCATTAGCAGCATCTTCCCTGCACTCTGTGGTGCAGCATTAAAGCCTCTAAAGAGCTCTCTAACAGCAGCAGGGAGGAGGCAGGGTTCATCTGCATCTTTTGACGTTTCTACAGTGTGTGCAGATCACCAGGCTTTTTCCCCAAAACTCGTGGCACATGGAAAGAGAAATGATGTGATAGAGAAACCAGGCTGTGGCCTAAGTAGAGAAAAGACTGACTGGGAGATACGATGCATTTATAAGAAGTTTATTAAAAATCCAACAACCTAACAGACTCTTCCCAGGGTGTAAAAGTTAACTCCTACGTGATCAGATACAGGCTCTGGAATACCATAAGCAGTATCTAGCAATAGCTGGGAGGAGAGTCAGATCTCAGACTGGTCAGTTGGAGCACCTTTACCTGCCCTGTGGTATTCACTGTTTCTGGAGATGCGACTGGGAGCTTGGAAGTCTCCCAGTGTTTGTTACAGGGCCAGTGTTTTCTTTATCTTGGATCATTTACTTTAGCTGGATGTTTGTGCTGTAACATTACAAACTGTTTGGGACATTCAGGGTGGCCAAAAGATTCAGTGTGGTTTTCCAATGTTGTCTTATAGCTGTCTTGGTTATCATTAGATCTTTATTCCTCTTTTGTTGGGTGCTGAGGAAAGAGAAGTAAATCATTGTTTGCATAAATGTGTGGGTGTTTATGTGTGTAAAAAACAACCTTTCCTTTTTTTTCAGCTGCATGGTGGAATTCTTCGGATATTCCCAGAAGGAAAGTCCTATGTAGCAGACGTTGAGCCAATTTTTGACCGATTACTATTTTTTTGGTCAGATCGAAGGAACCCTCATGAAGTCCAGCCTTCTTATGCAACCAGGTAAGTAGCATATTTTGTACTGATATATGGCCAAGAAAAAGCAAAGCATTTCTTTTACCAGTGTCTGTATCTAAAATTATGGCCATCTTGTTTGTTTAAATACGTGTGCATAAAAATATCTATATTTTGAGTGGATTTTGTGGTTTTGAGTCACTGGGAATTCTCTCATCAAATGAGGAAGAACAAGCTTGAATGATAGGATTCCTTGTGTGATGGGAAAAAAGCCCTTTTATCATTGACAGGCGAAATCTTCCATGCCAGGCATAGCTATTTAGCTGGGAGATGCTGGGTTGTACTTTTGCCCTCGTAACACTGTAGGGATTCTTGGGGCAACCATCTGTCAACAGGCTACGAAAAGCTGATGTGACGCAGGGCAAGCCCCAAGCTGCCTGCAGGAGTCCCAGAACAGAAGAACATGCAAAGGTCTGTAAGCTACTTTTGCCCTCTGTTACCAGGGGCTGTGCACTCTTCTGTGCCTCCAAGCAAAAATTCTCACCTATATTTCTATCTTACTTGATAAAATACACATTTAAAATGCTGTCTATATTTGTCTGTAAAGATGTGCCATTTGAATCTTTTTTTTCTTTACTAACTCAGTTATGTTTTTTGCTTTCTCCATGAGCGTAAAACTCCAGGGCTCTATTTCAATAGCAAAAGTTGAAACAAACACAGTATTTCTTTCTTTTACAGATACGCCATGACTGTGTGGTATTTTGATGCCGAAGAAAGAGCAGAAGCCAAAAAAAAGTTCAGAAACTTAACAGGTATGATTCTTTTATAAGCGTTCACCAGAAAGAATTTAATGCATTTTGGTATTTCCGAAGTCAGAGACAGACTGCGAATAACTCACACGTAGATGTGTATGACATTCAGTTTTAGAAAGCTTTTTAATCTCTAATCACCAGTCAGTTGCTTTATGCAAAGTGGAGAAGTTGTGACAGAAGAAGATTCAGGCCTGGCCTCAGTATCTCTGATGAGTGTGTTGGGGAACACGGGAGAGGTGGTTTCTGGTTGCACTCCCAAATCACTGCTGAGGTTTTGTCCCACCCCCGGTGGCTGCCTCAGACATTTGAAGTCTCTTCTTGGGAAATATATTTTGTTTCTTCCAAGCCTTGTTTAGCACAAAGTCATGAGACTTACACAAACAGTTTCATAATCACGTTCTCTAGATGTTCTGGCCAAATAGGGCCTGTCTTCTATATTAATGAAGAGCAGTAGAGAGGCCTACAGTAATGAAAAAGGGATTTGTCTTTAATTTACAAGTAATTTTTGAGGTCATCATAACTACCTTGGAATGTATAGATTATGAGTTGGAAAGAAACTTAAGTTTAGAAATCTATACAACTGCATCTTTTGGCAGGCAGTTGCTAGAGTAGCTGTAGTTATGGTGCACTTCAAGAGCTACCTGCATTTAGCTGGGCCTCACAGATAGCTTGAAGTCAGCTCAGAGACACTTCTGCAGAAGCTCAGGAAGAGAAGGTGACCCCAGCTTTCCTAACAGCAGCCAAATGTCCTGCTGCTGTAGTAATGGCAAACAAGTAATGGGCTGAGCTGTCCAGATGTGCTCCAGCAGCCTACCTGGAGCCATGCTCAAAGGTTTGCTGTTCGGAGCAGTTTGAGATCAGTTCCTCAAAATACAGTGTGGAGAGCATAATCTTTTTTTAAAGTATGTGCTATGCAGCTGGGCACCAGCGAAGTTGTAATTAGTCAAATGCTTTTCAGAACGAGCTGTTGTCATCCATGTAGCTGGTGTGCAAAGCAAATACTGTCTTCATCCTTAAAAGGTATCATGAGCAAAGGGCCAAGGTGGAGGGGAAAAATATCACAGATCTGGATTCTGAAAGTTTTTTGGGCTACTTAAATACTGCATGGGTCGTCATCATTTTCAACAGTGCAAATGTACAAATCCTTGGTATGGCTGTCTCATTAACATGCTATGGGTTCACACACCATTTCAATCAGTGTAGTGAATTCATACCATGAGTCAGAAATGGAAAGTGCTGTCCATTGAAAACAAACCAACTTTACTCTGTCTCTGAGCTGTCAGATGAGTGCCTTCAGAGCCCTCTGGCTTAACTGCCTCTCCTTTTTTTGTCTTTTCAATGTAGATGCAAGGAAGAGAGAAGCACCTCTTAATGAAGACTAATCAGCTGTTCCTGAACTCTTTGTGAGGAAACAAGATCCCAAAGATGACTTCCGTTTCCAGCGAACAGGGGCAAATTCTTGTTATGCACAAGAACGCACTGGTTGTGTCTAACATGTGCATCTTATATTGATGGTACTTAAGGCAGCCTCCTGTCATGCCTGCACCTGGCAGAAGGAATACTTGTTTTCTGTTTGCCTTTTGCTGGATAAAGTAACCAGGGTTAAAAAAAAAAAAAAAAAGAAAAAAAAAAAAGAAAGAGTATCACTAAGCCCAGTGGTAGTGGCTCAGCCAACTGGCTTGTGATCCCTCTTATAACCAAGATAATGATCATTGGAACTAGTGGTAAAAACCTGAGTCTTATTTGCACTTTATGGGGGAAAAATAAATCTAGCTCAATGGGAAGGAGCTTTACAAGTTTGAAATCTGTGGCAGACTGCTAATGGGCAAGGAGAGATATTGGAAATGTGAAATTAAACTGGATTTTTGTAGAGTGTCTTATGGTCTGTCCCACGTGGGCCTGTCAATGTACTGTTCATCACTTTGCTGCACAGAGCATTGGGTCAGCTCTTTGATAGCATGATTTTCCAAACAGTTTTTTGTATACACAACCATCGCATTTCCTGGATTTTGTTTGCTTTTCAAGAGTCAAGTTCTAGCTGTGCAGCTGTGCTGCCCTTTCTGTCCCGGGACTGAAGTAGTTATGCATCTGTCCACAACTTTGTAAAACCATTTCCCTTCAGTTCTGAGTGGGATGCATGTTTTCTGTTTTCATGGTTTGGTAAAGCAGCTGTTTTCTCACAAAAAGCTTGTTAAACTTGGAAGGTTGATGGCACACAATGCATTGGCACTAAAGGCCAATGATGCGTAGGGTTAAGTGTTGTTTTCATGACTTTTCCATCTACTGTGTTTTGTATGACACAGATATGAATCAGAAAGGAAAAGATATGTCTGGCAGGCTGACAAATGTATGATAAATAATGGGTATCTTAGGCTTGATTTCTGTGCTGCTTATCCTTATTTAACACACTTGTAAACTTTGCATGCATATGTAATTTGAATGAAACAGTGATTCCATTTTGATTGATCTGTTGCGCCAGGTAATTACTACTGCTGTGCCCAAGCTGTGAGATCAGAGTTATTCAAATGGCAAAGCACCTATTTTTTTTCTCCATTATTTTTTTAAACTTACAAGACTCAGTAAGTAACTGGTGAGCTGTCTCCTATCTGCCTAAGCTTCTACAGCCAGCACTTACCACGCGGTTCAGAATAGCTCTTAATGAAGGTGGGAGCTGGCGATGGATGTATTTATCACTCACACTAATTGTTTTCAACCTAATACACTCGCTTGCATTCATTTTTGTCTCATGTTGTCAGTATATATGTCAGACCCTGCTAACTATTCCCAACAGGTGCCCTCCTCAGTGTACCATGTTCTCCCATGCCTCCTGCCCATGGTGGTGAAGGTGGTCTGTGGTGGTGGAGGTAGTCTGTCTGGACCTGCACCAGTTCACCACGCATTGCTGGGCTGTCATGCCAGTGGTGGGCCCATGGGCCAGCTCTGTCACACGTGAGGTGGGGGCTGGAAAGGCAGTGTGCAGTGTGACAGAAGGGTAACAGCTGCAAGGGACAGAAAAGAAATAACTTTCATGACATAAAAAAAAAGATAATAGGAATTAAGTATTTTTTTAAGCAGTCCTGTCTCAAGAAAAACAAAACAAAGCAAATGAAAAAGCATCCTTCAGCCTGTCCTTGAATTCTGAATGTAAATACATAGTGCTGAGAAACCCCTCATTCTCTCTGGCTTCTCCCAGAGATCCAGCTATGGTCTTACGTGCTGGGCTTTGTTCAGCCTGACCACTGTGCACCTTAAGAGAGGAACATGAGGAAACACGTGTGGAAAATATTCTTATAACTCAAAACTAGGAAAAGACAAATCATCTGATAAATGTCCTTTAATGTTAGGAAAAACATTATTCCTCTACGGTTGCTTCTAAGTAGCACAACATAGACTTGAAGGAATCTTAGTGATAACTTGAAATTCTCATTCTGCAATGCTCATGTGGGAGGAGGAGTTAGGGCTCTTCCCTTAGAGTGAGAGGTAGCCCTTTGCAAGATGCTAGGTGTTGAAAAAGGGAGGGCACAGAATTGTTATTTAAAAAGTGGGGAAGAAGGAACCTAACCTGTTGCATTGCTATGCAAAGTTGATAATGGCATGCAAATTTGAAACCCCTACATGATTTAAGGGGGCAAAGACAGCTAAAACAGAGCAGAGCAAGTCTTGCTTTGCCTTTAGAAACTGTAACCTTAAAAAAATGCACTAAAAAGAGATGTTAGTACACATCTCACTGGAGCCTAGAACAGTGGAAAAATGATGGGATGGGAGGGGAAAGGCTTTGTATAAAGGTTGAAAAAGAAAGGTACTTCAGTTGCAACTGTTGCGACCATCTGGCTTCAGCAGTGGTCAGCAACATGTGTGTGGTGAATGGAGCATGGAGCAGTATAGATTCATTTATTGTAAATAAAGTACTTATTTTCATTATTAGCCAGTATCTTCCTGATCTAGATAGAGAACAGTTATTCTGTGGCAGAGAGCATTGTCTTTTTCTTTTTTAACACATATAATTAAGTACAAAAGTTGAGGTTACGGGATTTTGAATCCAATTTCTCAGTCTTCTGTTCCAGACCTTTACCCATTTCCAGATCAGTGGGATGATGTCCTTGAAGATGCTGTAGTTTAGTTGGGGGGGGCGGGGGTGTGGAAGTTGGTCATTTAGAAATCCACAGGCTTGATGCTTTCTGCACGGGTTTCTCTTGCCCATCTCTGAAATTGTTCCCAACTTCCCTGCAAGAATGAGACTGAAGAACTAGGGGAGAAGCCGACTGCTGCAGCAGGGAGGGCATTTCAAGGAGATTCCTTTCCTTGTGTTTTATCTTCATGGCAAACTTCTTGAAACTTCTATGGCTAAATAGTACTTGTCACCCAGTTGTGAAAGC